CTATCTTTGAATGGAGAGTTTGTCTTGATGTAGAGGTAGACTCTCAGGATAGCGTGCCACTGGTAAAAAAAACCTCTTGGTTCAAGAGTGCAGTTTCTTGTCGCCGGATTTAAGAGTCTGGACTCTTGTTTCAATGCAAAATCCGCTTGAATCAATGCAAAATCAGCTCGAAACAAGAGTTCAAGACTCTTAAATCCGGCGACAAGAAATATCCCCTCGGATATCCCCTCCATTTTGGCCTCAACTTGAGAGCTTTTTTTGTGCCTGGGAGTTGATTTCAGAGAAAACCGGTGGCACCATCGTGTTTCTCGCGAACCTTTACATAGGAAACGATGGCCGAATCGCAAATTCCTCACACATGCAACATCTCCATTGTGTAAGTAGATTTCACAACCTCTGGATGGAGATAAGTACTTTCGTCTGAGAAACGATAATAATGTGCGATCGCGATTTTTTGTGCCTAAATGAATGTAAATCGTGGCCGATGCTATGTGTCTGTGTAGTGGATTCTCTGCTGTGCTGGGCAAGTTCCCGCAATCGAGCCATTGAGTGTCGGCACAAATGGGATTTAGAAGATAGCTCGATAAGCTCCGGCTGTTTTCGTAAACAAACTTAATTAAGTCGTATGCTTCGAGCCGATAATCCAATCCTACGGCTATCGTCGATAATGGGCCTAGAATCTAGATGAGTCTTCGCTCAGCTTACTGCTTTTAATATGCTGCCGTGCTAAGGGAAAACGTCGTATGAACATTCGAGAGTTGCCAAATGTCCTTAAATTAAGTATTTATTTTTAAGGAAAGTTATGAATATTTTTCTTTTAAATTTTTAGAAACTCTAGGAGAGAGCGGGAACAAAATTATATTAAAAATTGAAAGGAAAATATTCATAAGTTTACCAGAAAATTCGTGTTTTATCAAATGAAATGTGGCAACGCCCGAAGGCTCGTACGGCGTTCTTCCTTAGCACGGCAGTATGTGTATCCTCTCTTGGACATTAACGCCAGAGTTCTAGAGCGAGCTTGACTTTCATTGCTATGAAAAATGATGGTGAGTGAGTATATGAGCCAGTAGAAAAACTGGGGTTTACCGGGATTCACCAGGAAATGAAAAATAACAGTGGGAATTGGAAATATGTGCCAGAAACTGGGGATTTTTTCTCTCTCCGACTCGAGATTGTTAACATTGGTAGCCCCTCTTGACTCGACTACAAAGAATCAGACTGTAGGGGGAAAGTTTTGACTTTTCTGTGGACCTTTTTTTCGTAAGCTGAAAGGGCGCAAGAAAAAAAAAGGAAGTACTAAAACCAAAAAAATAAAAAACCATCAAACACATTTTGCTAAAATATTAGTTTGCTTTGGCAAAAATGGGAAATACATAGCGTGTTCCATCACCTGTTATCACTTTTGCGTGTAGATCAATATTGACGGAGCGCCAATAAAATAAAAATACCTGAGCTGATGAGTTGCAATGACACTTGCGCACGTGTCGGCTTGTATAACCACTGTTGCCAAGTATCGCCAAGTTCGCGTGTGAATTGAAATAATACAGTAGTGCATGTGTATAGGGAGAACACGGACAGGCCGGTAATTTTGGGGTGGATCATGGAGCTTTTATGGTCCAATAGGGCCGCCAACCCACGAATCCAAATTATCCAGACTTATTTATTTTCACAATTTGTACGTCGTGTCGTTTGTGAAGGTCGTATTTGACTTATAATTAGTTGTTGAATAAATTCACTCATTTTTGAAGAAGAACACTCACTTATGAACATTCTTGGCCATCTTGGTTTCATATTGAAATCCGAAGATTGGCTGTGTCATTTCCTGTGTTGGAAGGTTGGTTGCCCTTTTGGGCCCTAAGAGCGCCATATTTCGATTTGTCCGTACTCTCCCTATGTACTGCCGTGCTTAGGAAAAACGCCGTATGAACCTTCATGCGTTGCCAAATTTCCTTTGATAAATCACGAATTTTCGGGAAAATTTGTAAATATTTTTCTTCCAATTTTTCAGATAGTGAGGTTCGCAGTTTCACCTAAAGTTTCTGAAAATTTTAAGGAAAAATATTCATAGCTTTTCCCAAAAATAAAAGTTTTATCGGAAGAAATTGGGCACCTCTCGAATGTTCATACGGCACTTTTCCTTAGCACGGCAGTAAAGGTACTTTAGACAAAAGCCACAATGCGACGTTTGTAGCCCTTGATTCCATGCATGCACAACTAATCACTCCGATCTCTGTGATTTTCCCTCCAAAGTAACTCTGGTTATTAAGTGGAGATGCGTTGCATGTGTGAGGAATTTGCGATTTGACTGTTGATTCTCATGTAAAAGTTCGCGAGAAACACGATGGTGCTACTGGTTTTCTCTGAAATCAACTCTCAAGCTCAAAAAAGCTCTCAAGTTGAGGCCAAAATGGAGGGGATATCCCACGCTATCCTGAGAGTCCACCTCTACCTCTACATCAAAACAAACTCTCCATGCAAAGATAAGGAGCAAATACATTAGCAGTGATGCCACCTTATTTGGGGACTCAAAAACTGAAAACACGGCAACCCTGCTAATGTATTTGCTCCCTATCTTTGCATGGAGAGTTTGTTTTGATGTAGAGGTGGACTCTCAGGGTAGGGTGGAATATCCCCTCCGCTTTGGCATCACTTTGAGAGCTTTTTTTGAGCTTGGGAGATGATTTCAGAGAAAACCAGTGGCACCATCGTGTTTCTCGCGAACTTTTACATAAGAATCAATGGTCAAATCGCAAATCACTCACACATGCAACATCTCCATTTCCACTGTGCCATCCAAATGCTGATTCTGAAACCCGCCAGAAATAGTGGTCTCTTGGGATGTGAGTCAGTGGGTCTTGGAGCAGACACAGCGACTGCGACCGACAATCGCCGATGGCGATGGCGGCTACCTCGTCGTCTTCACCTGGCGATGCACGCAAACGAGGCTCATTAAACTCTCGGCGAATCGGTGCGGTGACTCGCCGCTTGCCAATTACTCTCTCTGCCGGCTCTGTGACGAGCACCCGGTCAAGTCGAGTGACCACGCGATCGTCAATCGGACCCTGGCCGGAGGCAAGGCCATCCCTTCGTCTCCGATCGTCCGTTGCCCGGCTCCCTGGCACCCGAGATCGGAATCCAATCCAAAATCGGGGATAGATCATTGATCGGTATCGGTTCTGCCGTGCCAAGAAAAAACGCCGTATGAGCCTTCAGGCGTTGCCAAATTTCCTCTGATAAATTACGAATTCGCGGGAAAATTTGTAAATATTTGTCCTCTAATTTTCACTGGGAAAAAAAAAACACATTGGATCCAGAGTCCAGACTCTTGAAACATCGACAAGAAAAAATACTCTTGATTCAATCGGATTTTTGCTTAAATCCAGAACCAAGCCTCTTAATTTGAGCGGATTTCCTTTCGATTTAAGCTTAAATCTGATTGAATCAAGAGTACTTTTTCTTGTCAATGTTTTCAAGAGTCTGGACTCTAGATACAATGTGTTTTTTTTTTCCCGTGTACCATTTGATTGGGGTAAAAACCGGGCAGGGACCGTCAAAAGAAATGACACGCGGACCGAGTTTTTCAGTGATTTTAGCAACGCGCAAGCCAGGGAAGGGAGCGCGGTCGAATGTCGAGTCATATCTTCACAGTGTGATGCGCCTTCAATCCAGCTTGCGGTCGTGTGCCTCTACCCGCGTAGTCGAATATTTAGCGCAAACTCTCGCATTGCGTTTGGTGCAATGCGAGAAGTATTCATGCGGTCTTGTAGGCGCTGATGTGCGCTTGACGCCGACCGCACTGTTTGGCACAATGCATGAAGTATTCCTGCAGTCTTGCAGGCGCTGATATGAGTTCGACGCCGACCGCACCTTGTTTGGCGTGACTATTTGAACTCGCGTTAGGATGATCGCGGCATCGAACAATGGGCTTAAAAGAAAAAATACTCTTGATTCAATCAGATCTGAGCTTAAATCAATAACCAAGCCTCTTAATTTGAGCGGATTTCCTTTTGATTTAAGCTTAAATCTGATTGAATCAAGAGTCTTTATTCTTGTCAATGTTTTCAAGAGTCTGGACTCTAGATACGATGTGTTTTTTTCCAGTGTTTTCGATAATTATGCATAGAACGAACGGCACATGCTGTGTTTTTTCTAATACGAGTCAGAAACGGTAGTCCCTTACTGCAAAATACAATATAAATATGACCGTGGCCAAGGGGAGAATTAAGGGTACCGATGCCCCACCTCTATTAACATCTTTGAACGAAAAGAGGATGTAACTATAAACAATTAACAACATTAAGAGCACGGTGAAGAACTTTGAAATATTTGTTTTATCAGAACACAACAAAGCTATTCTGCCATGTAAAGAAAAAATCCCGTATGACTCTCCAGGTGTTGCCAAATTTCTTCTAGTAAATCACGAATATTCGGGAAAATTCGTACTTATTTTTCTTCCAATTTTTCAGATAATTTTATTCGCAATTTCACGCAAAGTTCCTGAAAATTTTAAGGAATATTGTTCATAACTTTCCTACAAAATAAATACGTTTTTCGGAGAAAATTTGACATCTCTCGAATGTTCATACGGCGTTTTTCCTCAGCCACGGCAATCTGCCTTGCTAAGGAAGAACGCCGTATGAACATTAGAGAGGTGCCAAATTTCCCTCGATAAAACATGCATTTTTGACGACATTCACGCACTTCTCTTCGAAATTTTCAGATCCTTTTGATTAAATTGTGTGTACGAAATTGCCTGACAATTTTGGGGGGAAATATGCACAATTTTCCCTGTAAATTCGGTTTTTATCGAAGGAAATTTAGAAACGTTTGACGGTTCATAGGGCGTTTTGCCTTAGCACGGCAGTATTATGTTCATTAATTGCTCTCTTTCGCTCTTTTAATAAAGAGGAATAAAAACAACCCTTTTTCCAACCATTGCACGAGTATTCATTTCACTGGCTTCATCCAGTTACTAATTTCCCCTCTCTTCTCTGTTTTAGCTTTCAGCGGCAACGCGACGACGGGCGTGCAGCCAGGCTCGCAAAAAACTGCTTAACTTTCGTCCCTGCGTGACCGGCCAAAGGCACGCAAAATCGATCCCTGGAAAACGCGCGTACAGTTCAGTTCCGGAGTTCGTCCCTCCGATTTCACCCGGCTTCTGTGATACCCTTCCTAGTCCTCCAAGTGCAGTTAGATTTAATTTCAATTTAGTAGCTTCCCCCTTGTTCGTTTTTATTTAGTGATCGAATTCTTGCGTGTTTTAATTTCTACGAGTTGTTATTTTTAATTTATTCGACCCAAAGATGACGAAAATGAAAAGGACAAACACGATTTTGATCGGGGTTCTGAGGAAGAGAGCGAAAAGGGTTTGCGTCTAGGTACGCAAAGGCACTTAAAGGTCGCGAGAAGCCGACATAGCTTTAAGTGCGCGTGGTGATGATGATCTTCCTAACTGATTTTCTCCCCGAAGTCGCGTCAGTGCTTTTCGCTTCACCCGATTTTCCGGTGATTTCCTGGTGATTTTTCTGAGTTTTCCGGGAGAGCTTTTCGACGGGCATGTTATCGTACATGGTGCCCTCGATTGAGGACAAACCGCCCCCGATCCCGGCCAAACACCACCTGCAGCTCGACCTTTCGCCCACCTCGCTGCCCAACGGTCACGGAAATGGTCACCATAAAGAGAACCACGACCTACCGGCCACTCATAGCCCACTCGACAAGGCCAAGTCCAGAAAAGTTACCAATGGTGCTACCAAACAGACTACGCTTAAAAGGTAAGAATATAAATATTGATGTACACTAGCACTATGTCACTTTCTTACACTTCTGTTAATTCCAAACCAGTTCTGGATAGTAATGACACAAGCTTGACGTATCAGGATCTTTAATAACCAACACTGGCAAAAAAACCACATTTGATCTAGAGTCCAGACTCTTGAAAACATTGACAAGAAAAAATACTCTTGATTCAATCGGATTTTTGCTTGAATCAAAAGGAGATCCGCTAAAATTAAGAGGCTTGGTTCTTGATTTAAAAGCTAGATTCTGTTTGAATCAAGAGTACTTTTTCTTGTCGATGTCTTTAAGAGTCCAGACTCTAGATCCAATGTGTTTTTTTTCCAGTGTATCAGGATTCTCAATTACCATAGAGTACATAGAGATGTAATGTGAGTGGGAGAGCCGGCGCCACTTTTAGGCATTTTCCAGGACCCGAATTCCGAGACTCCTGTGTGACGCCGGGTCACTTTTTCGATACATTATCGATTATTTTCGATACACGGGGACCCGGCCATCCGATGTAGACAGAGAAGATAGGAATTACTGTGTATTCCACACCGCCATTTTGGATCGAATATGTATCGAAAAAGTGACCGGAGCTCGGCGCACACCGGGCTCCGAACTCGTCGACCGGAACATGCCGCCAGCTCTCCCATTCACACTACGACTCCATGTCCTCTATGTCAAGAACCAAGCTTTGCATCGAGAAGCTCTTTATCTCTGCTTACTACACTGGAAAAAAAAACACATTGGATCTAGAGTCCAGACTCTTGAAAACATTGACAAGAAAAAATACTCTTGATTCAATCAGATTTTTGCTTAGATCAAAGGAAAATCCGCTCTAATTAAGAGGCTTGGTTCTTGATTTAAGCTTACATCTGATTGAATCAAGAGTATTTTTTCTTGTCGATGTTTTTAAGAGTCTGGACTCTAGATACAATGTGTTTTTTTTCCAGTGCTGCTTACTAGACAGACCGATACACAAACCGATGGCGTGATTTGCATACGCTGTATAGATTGATCTGTCATTTAAACCTATGAATAGGATAGATAACCAGAGTGTTTGCAACTAATGCCTTAATAATCGATTCTTTATAGCAGCTTCGAATGGGGAAAAATCGATAATCGATCATTCATGCTTCACCTCTGCTGTATAACAACCACTATTAGCGCCGTCTCCACTCGTCAAAATGGGAGCTCGAAGTGGATCGATTTGAACGATAAGTGGCTCAAAGTCGGGACTTGATGCGATTGATGAGTGTATGTAGCAACTCAAAATAGAGCGGCTTGACTCTTTTTTGATCAACAATCGCGAACAGATCGTATTTTTTGGTTCATTTTGAGCTTTCATTTTGACGCCATTTTGACGAGTGGACGCAGGGCTATTGATTTGCATTAAGGAAACGATAGAAATCCGAGGGAGAAAATGCCGGCAACGCCGCTCTAATCCATCATGGATGTGCTAAATACCAGTGAGTGCTCAATAATGGCACCTTACCTGCAATTACTTACGGCTACGCTGCGTCCATGCTAGGCCGACCGATGCGCTACTCAGTTCGCCGTTAAAATGTGCATCAAGCTCAAATCGATCCTCCGTAAGCCCTGTGTCAAGCACAACCGATTCGCCTTGCCACTGAATCATCTCGAACGCTGCGTCATGATTGCAGGTTCGTCTGGCCGTTTTAATTGGCAGTTCGTGCTTTGCGATGAATCGGCGATTCGACCACTTATCACCATTGAAAAGAATCGTGCATCAGGGTGTCGTTAATAATCGACTTTTTAATATAGCTCCAAATGGGAAAACATCGATACTCGATAATTCACGCTTGGCCTTTAATATTGGAATGATTCTAGGGTTCTGGCTCCCTGGAGCTAATGACGATTTATGAAAGTTGGCAACATTGTTTTTCTTCCATTTAAAAGTAGGTAAAACAATCGATTCTTGATGAGGCAACTTGCGGCTTGCCTCTCTTAAAATCGATATTTTTAATGTATTTGAATGGAGGAAAAACAATGTGCCAATTAGCAAAATCAACGCACTAGCTCTTAAGTCGTTGCATTTGAGAATAGAAAGTAATCCAATGAGTGAACTCCAGGCTTATCTCGCCCCTTAATATCCTGAATTTTCGGTCTTCTGAGATTTTGAAAATTTTCTAGTTTTTTGAAGTCACTGAAACATCCTGAGAGTTAATCAATGAATATAAATTAGGTGAACCTTTAGAGCCTGCTGGGATTATGCCGTTCAAAATCTGGCAAGCTAAGATGTTAAGGGTTGAAATGACATAAGATCCCATGAAATTAATCGGAGGTCAGAAAGCGTGCCATAAAATGTGACACGCCAGGATGTTCAGGGTCATATCAACTAATCACCTCTGCCCATTAAGACTAAAATTAGAGGAAAGAATCCCAGGACGTGACTTTTTGAAGCCTAAGAAACCTATAACGAGATTTGATGATTTGAGCCACGCGACTGGTCTGCCGTGCCAAGGAAGAACGGCGTATGAGCCATCAGAAGTTGCGAAAACCTATCGCAAATTTTTGGAAAATCTGTGAATATTTCTCTACCGATTTTTAGAGAATTTTGCTCGTGGTGTGATTTGTAGTGTCTATAAATTGCAAGGTAAAATGCACGTAGCTTTCTTTGAAAATATATATTTTCTGAGAGGAAATTTGCCAACATCCGAATGCTCATCCTACGTTTTTTTAAGCTCGGAAGTACTGCCGTACTGATAGGAAGAATGTCGTATGAACAATCGTAGTTTGTCAGATTTCTCGGGATAAATTATTTATTTTTGAGAAAATTTACACTGGAAAAAAAAAGCACATTGGATCTAGAGTCCAGACTCTTGAAAACATTGACAAGAAAAAGGACTCTTGATTCAATCAGATTTAAGCTTAAATCTGATCGAATCAAGAGTATTTTTTCTTGTCGATGTTTTAAGAGTCTGGACTCTAGATCCAATGTGTTTTTTTCCAGTGTACGAGCATTTTCCCTTGTAATCCTTAAATATATTAGAGTAAATGCCGACTAAAATCCTTTGAAAAATTGGAAGAGAATTATTTACAAGTTTCCTGAAAATTCGCATTTTATCAGGGGTTTGGCAACGCCTGAATGTATATACGACGTTTTTTCTTAGCACGGCAGAGTAGTAGGATGTGATGTGAACAATCATGATGACGGGTGCCCGGGTGGCCTCGCATGCAAGTCGGTGAGCCTCTAAAAGTTCTGTCGGTATTAGGATGTCATGCGAGACTAGCAGGTCGCCGGAGTCTGCCGTGGGTCGCGCGAATAGGAGATCAATACAGATCAGGCGACCAGGTGATTTTATTCGTCGCAAAAATACAACTTCATACATCGTGTTCTTATTCAGACCGCTTTTGATTGGCTCCTCCAACTTGAGGTTCATGGAGCTCCTGGGACCCAAAAATGGCGGACGCTATAAGCAGATTTTGTTTCAAAATGACTTTAAATGTGGTTTTATTTGTAAATTGCACCGAGAACTTTTCTCCACTTCACTAGTAAGACGTTTTCACATATTTTTACGGCTAATGGTGTCAATAATTTCGAGAACATTCATCTGGGATATTGAGGGCTGAGATATTATACCGTGTAACTAAAAATTTTGGCAAAAATGAAATGGCGCCTTCGCCGTATTCTACAATATAATTACGCCAGCTGATGATTTTAGTTTTTTCGAATTCTGATGGAAAACGCTGCAATGACGATGTGATGAATGAAAAAATTGCAAATCTAACCTCAAAACTACTGAAAGTTGGAAGGCTTAAAACCCTCAGAGTCAGGGAGAAGCACAAAGAGTCAGGGCAAGTAGGGAAATCGGAATATGAAACAACTTTACTGGAAAAGGAAGTGGACTAATTTAAAGAAAATTCGCCTCCAACACAAAATGTCTCTCGACCAAAGAAGGGGGAATACTTCTAGTCAGAGGAAAATCGTTTAAATCAAGCAGAAATCTGCTTAATTCAATCGATTTTGCTATCGGTTTTAGATGAAGTCCTCTTGGCGATGAATTAAATTCGAATTGTTTCCAGCCCTGGTCCAGAATGCATCATATTGAATCCACTCCGGAGATAAGCTTTCTGCGCTGCTATGACACGTTTTCTCAGATCGTTCTCTTGAGCAGCGCGGAAGCCGTAAGAAACGCCTGGAAAGACGAGAGTAGGCAACGAGTCAACCACGCGTTGCTTCGCAGGAATCAATTAGCGCGTTGAAGGCGAAGATGTCTCGCGAGATTGGCAGTCATTTGTTTCGTTGAACGTCGGCGCTAGGCTAGAGTGCATTGGCCCAATATCTCCGTCCAGCCATGATTGTTACTCCCGTGAATGTTTCCGCCGGAAACGTATAAGAGCTTCAGCCAGCGTTGCCAAACCTAAGACAAAATCTAAGGCACGGGCATCGGACGTAATTACAACTTGAGGCGATTCGTCACGGTCTCTGTATCGATTATGTAGAAAATCTCGGCATATTTTAAATTTTTCAAAAGAGTACGATAGCCCCTGTGCGTGAGCTTAAAGGTCTTCTTTAATCCAAAAACTTGGCAAAATTCAGAGAAATGAAAACAGAATCCTGTTTGGGAAAAAATCTCGCATGTGATACAATTATCGATTTTTGTATCGAATGTAAGGTTTTTTCCAAACAGAATTCCCCTTTCATTTCTCTGAATTTTGCTAAATGTTTGGTTTTGAATGATTCATTAGGCTCGTGCGAAGAGGCTTTTGTCTTTTTTTATGATTTTGTATGATCTGCCGAGATTTTTGGCACAATTGATGCGATTCTCATACCTGTTTAACCGAGTCAGAAACCTTGACGAACCGCCTGAAGCGGGAGAATATTCACGGTGAAACTGCAAAAATTCATATCCCGGTTACGCGGTGTTTCAAAATCTTCGCTTCTCATTTATTTCTTGAAATGAGACCAAACCGACATCACGGTTTGAAATTTTCACAGAATATTATCTCACAGAAAGGAAAAATCATC